CTTTTGCGCTGATAGCCTTAATTATATTATGATGATTTATTAATTTTTGTTGTTGTTGTGCTAATATTAATGCAACTATCTATAGAAGAAACTTACGTAAGGAGGGCCAAAACATAGATATCCATAGATAGATAAACATAGATAAACATCTCGTTTTGATATTAATTAGAAGATCGAGTAGGTACTCGTATGTTCCAATTTTCAAAGACAAATTTTGACTTTTTATATACAGTGGGGCTATTGTACTAGGGGAACATGACAACTCGCCAATTTATTATTTCTATGTAACAAAGTGTGGTTCCCAAACTAATTCGTGGCGAGTCTCCGTTTAGTCGGCGCAAACGCCGTGTGCCGCGCGCCCTGCCTGGCCGTTTCGCCGGTCTTGGTAGACTGCGTCTGATTAAATTAGCCGACGACGTAAATTGCATTTCATATCGTAAGCGACTGTCTGATTTATGCGTGGCTGGTACGTTGCAATGGACACACCTGATTGTAGTTCTATGTTCAACTTTATTTCTTTATAATTTTACATATCGTTTGGCTTCTCAACGGGAACCCCTGCCAAAAAAAAAAACTATTTATTGATATCATGCTGTTTTTTCACTATCACAACATCCATCTGTTTTTTGTAACAATGCTCTACTAGTTTCTTATTACTATTGAAGCAAAGATCGTACAGACAAAAATATAAAAAATTATCTCGACCCGATTGGACTAGAACAGCATGAGCATTTAAAAAGTTTATGACTCATCATTATAATATTTTTCAAGTTTCCAATGCGTAACAAAAGAAAACACAACCTGCTGAAATCCTTACGGAATGAGACCTAAAATGAAAACTTTGTAAATACTCGCAAACTCGCTGAAACACATTTAATTACGCTTACAAACCTACTTTTAAATAAAAGAACTTCCAAGCTAACCCAATTGTTGTCTACAATGAGAAAACCACAATGTAACATTTTGTGATTCGTTAATTTTCTGTAAAAAGTAACGAAACGAGGCGGCAGGGGCTCTTTAGTTATATAATATTCGTAGATTCGCTAGCGAAAGCCGTTTAAACTTTTATTGGAATAGTTTGACCATTCTCTGCTTTGCTTGCTCTTACGCGAATGGATATTACGTTTCAGTAGCTCGGCGGAAAAAACCGAGCGTTCGCGACCCCTTTCATCGTAGAATATCGTTTGACAACGGAATCCTGTTACACATATCATTCACAAATACTTGTACGTGAGGGCTATATAAAAACTTCGGAATCTTGTTAATAAAAAAGAAAAATTGTGATACATTCTTTCATCGAAGCGGAGATTACTTTATGTTTAGATTCGTAAAGTTGTTTACCTGGTTTTGTCCGGTTTATAATGGGTAACATCAACACTGCCTTATATTAACGATGGTCGATGTCAAACTTTACTCGTAATTGCATTCTTTCCCCTTTGTGCCGACTCTATACAATAGTGTTACAAGGTGGAAATAGCCAATACACACCGCTGAATCAACGACACACAGTTGATGAGATCACATTTACCATACGAAGAGTTAGCAAATTTATCAAAGCGCGGTTTTAGTTGGGCAAAGTATGTAATCAAATCATACCCGTAGTTATAATCACAGAACAAAAAATACAGTAGAAGTGGTTTGTTAGCGACCGACGCGTGTCAACTATAGGTCTTGAAAGATCTATCTGACCTCAGTCTGTCATTTTCGCTTTTTATGGTATGGTAGTGTCATTCTTTCGTGCAAATTCTTTAAAATCCTAAATCTTTAAATTCCGAAAAATACCTTATTGTGCTGTTTTGGAGTGCAAACGTGATAGCCGCATGAAAAATATTACCCGTGGTGGTATTTCATATCATTGGAAAGTCTTATTTTAATAAATTTTCAATTTTCTGGTTATCGAAATATTTTTTTTGTTACAAGAAACGAAAGTAAAGCTTATGTCTCTGCAATATGGTTGATTCTTGTTGGGAGAACTAAATTATTAACTTCAATTTGTCGTCGTTCAGCAATCAACCGCTAGATGGCAGTACATTGATTAAAATTTCAATATAATATCAAAACGTCCTAACTTGTAATAATAGATATTGAAGGTATTGAACTTTCATCGATATGCCAACAGGGTTTAAATTATATTAACAATTCAGACTTTGTTATTTCTTTTTAAATTTGAAACTACGACCAATCAATATCAAGATTTTGTAGTGTTTCAAATTAAGAATGTGTCCGTTCTGACAGTAATCGAGGGTCATCGAGTATATAACCAGAAATAGAGACGAAATAAGGGGCATATATTCCTGGTAACACAGTAGCGATACAGCTCTTATAAATATCAACTCTCTCTATAAACAAATAAATAAATAAATAAATCATTTCAAAGTCAATCTGAAGTTCAGATCAGTCAACTCATATCCATTTTCGGAATTAATTCGAAATCAGACTCATCATCATCTTCAATCAGAATCATGTCATCACAGTGTTGAAATTTATATCGTTTGTTTTAGTTCACTTTTTTAGCACTGCTTCACTCTTTCGTAGCCAGTTGTCGAACTTGTTTTTGAAGGTATTAACAGAGACACCAGAAACAACATTTTCCTTTATTATACCAATTACACGATTATAAGATCCCAGGTTTGTGTTCTATTTTTTTGGATAATACCAATAGATGAACGAATCGTCTGGTTGTAAGCGACACGCCTATCCATAACAGTTGCAGTGCCACTTAAAGCTTTAAATCGCAAAGATTTTAGGGGCACTGCCACTACGCCCGTCACCCTGAGACATAAGTTGACAAGTCCCATGTGCCTGTAATTTCACCAACACCGTTTCCCTTCCAAACCGGAACGCAATAATACTCACATTACTACTTTGCAGCAGAAATAGGTATTATGGCAGTATTTCCCTGAACTAGCTCTTTCACAAGGAACTCTACTGCTACTAAATATATTATGTATAGTATACATTGTCAAAGTACTATACCACTGACCGATTTTAAGTAAAAGATAAAAACCTAGAAGATTATTCATTTATTTTCTGTCAGCCTGGATTTAATGTCTTCTTAGATATTGAAACATTGTCTTTTTATCTAGCCTAAAGTAAAAATAGTTTAGAATTTTTCCCAACCTAACGACTTGATGATTTGAGAAAGGATAAACGCATTCAATTAATTGCAATATTGATTTTATTGAATATTCAATTACATAGGTACAAAACAAACAATTATTACAACATCTAGAAACCATTGAGTTTTGAGTCAATGTCAATGTTGTCTATATCAACAATACATAAATCTTACTTTAATAATGTAATAAAGTGAAAATATTAATAAAAATATTCAAAAGAGTACAATTAATTACTCCTCTAGTTTGTTTTTTTATAATATCAAATGACTGGACGAACAAGTCGTGCACCTGATGGTAAGCCACACGCCTGTCCATAACAGTGGCAGTGCCACTCAAAGCTTTAAATGGCAAAGATCTGAGGGGCACTGCCACTGCGCCCGTCGCCCTGAGACATGAGTTGACAAGTCCCATGTGCCTGTAATTTCAGTTAGTAATTATTAAAACAAAGACTGAACACAAACCACAAAAAGCAACAAAAAAGACAGGACACGAACCTGCGTCAGACACGGTCCTGTCATATCGAAAGATTTTTCTATGTGTCACTCTTTGTATTAATCATTACATTCCTTTAATTTCAATGAACATAATTTGCTAAAGAGTATTAAGCACATACGTACAACCAGGTAATTGTTAAGATTGCTTATCAACAACAGCAAGCGTACTACAAAGTACAATAAATGATTTTAAAATTTCATTTACAACGTCGTGTACCTATAATAACCATCTGCACTTCGCATAGTGCCTCTAGTTTCCTGGCTCACATTTTGCCCAATTAGGCTTGTAACGACTCTTAAAGCTGGGAGCCTCTTAACTGCGAAGGCAAGGGCAGGCTTTCATACTCAACTCTATTTATACCAACTAAAATTTATTAGTTGAGTGATACCTTTAAGTTGTCCTACTGGTATCAATAATTATGAAGCATTCGTCACTCAAACATTATCAAATAATTACAAACAAAAAATGTTCAAATTCTAAGTAATATAGATGTATATTAATGATTAAGTTACGTCCTTGCTTTTTATATGAGACCTGAGCATGACCTGAGGCTAGATGTTGCCTCATACTCACTTTGACCTGAACCTAAAATCTATTGCGATTGTAAATACATTGTAGTGATTTAATGGCATATTGTCTTTAAAAAACTTCTACAGATTTTGACAGAAGACAAGGACGCCACGTCAATAAAAAAACTAAACCTATTTATAAAAAATATATAAAATATCAACTTTTAAGTCATATTAAACATATGCCATATCATCGTTTATCGTTATAAAATCATTAAGACGAAGGCACGTGTCGGCAGGTACAAAATTCGGTTAGTTTCGGGCCTTTTTTCAAAAGAACGTACAAGAAATAACATCGTATCGAAGCTTTAATGCACATGCTGCGGCAGATGTTTGATTTGAATTTATATCCTTTGTTCGTCTTTTGTTTTTTGACAGTTCGTTGATTTTTCTTTGCAATTTTTTGTTAATGTAAATGGCATTATGATATTACTGAAACTGTATAAGTCCAAGATAATATTGTAATCACCCATAATATAGAATATCTCGCTGTCTTGTTGGTCAATTATTGTTTAAGTTCCTTTAAGACAACATATTTTAATAAACAAACAAAAGAAAACCAATAATGAATGATGGCACTCGTCCTCATTTCATAACTATCAAGATTTCCGTTATGTTACTGCGAAGAAAACCGAGCGTAACAATAACGGCCATCTGTCAGGGGGCAAATCACACTACAAAAGGTTTGATCTACTGCGACGGCTGCGCTTTGGTAGTTCTTTTAAAAATGGGTTGCACCGGGCTGATATTAAATTTTTATTTTTTTATTTGAGCTATAGTCAACGGTGCAAATGATTGTTTTTTTTGTTTGTTGCAGGATGTGAACGCCCTAGTATCGATCCATCAATGAGGGAAAAATTCAACTGACCACATCGGACAATGCGGTCACAAGCTACAAAACCATTACCTAAAAAAGGGGCTTTAAATAAGACAACATTGAAATCGGGCTCCGCTGGAAAACAAGCTAAAAGAAAAGCAGTTTCTCCGAAAAAAGTCAAGACTTTAATTAAAAAATCTCTCGTAAAAACTACTAAGAAAAATTCTACTAAAGATGAATCAATCAAAAAAGATGACGATGTTTCAACTGGAGATAGACACGAAACCTCACTGGACAGTGCTAAGAGTGGACAGTCTAAAAGTGGTTCTCGTAGTAACTCGCCAACAAAAAAGCCTAAAAAAGATCCTAAAGAAAAGAAAGACACGGCTAAAAGTCCACCAGAAAGTACTACTAAAAAAGTTGGCCCTAAGAAAATTCTGAAATCGTCCAAGAAACCAAAAGCAGCAACCAAGAAAAAAGGAAACATGGACGGAGATGATGTAAAGTACAAAATTAATGTAGATGCTGCAAGGAAAGTACCAGCTAAATTCTCTAAAGCTAAAACGATTGTCAAGAAAACCAATACAAATCAAAACAAAAAAGGACTAACTCAAAAGAAACAAACTGTGCAGGAAGTTGAAAATAACGCTGAAAAGATGGATGCAAAAAATACTACCGATAACAAAACTGGTAAAGAGGAATCAGCTGATAAAAAAGAAGACATAAAGAAAGATTCTGCCCTTAAAGATGACAGTAAACTTAAGGAGCAGTTAGAAGTTAAGATAATTGATGAAATTAAGCCAACGAACAACAATTCATCTAATCCACCAGCAACAACTCCACCTGAAACAACAAAAACTGAACACGAAAGGCCCCCAAAATTTTTTACATCAAGTCGACATCCGAGGACGGTAGACATAGATGTAAAATGCCTAAAAACATCAAAGGGTAATTTAAGCATGTCAGAGAGGTTTTTATCTTTTAAAGGCGAGACTAAAAATGATGGGAACAATGAAGATAAAAAAAATACAAACAATCTCGTATCTCAGGGACCTGATATTGATGTCTACACGTTTACTGAAAAAGTCGATTCCCCCAAAAGCATTCTATCTGATTTCCGTAATCCAATTAACAAAAACATCGGCAGAGTTAGGCCTATTGCAAGAGTGAAAGGTACCGTTATTGACAAAAAAGACCCAGAAAAGAAAAAATATTCTCCACATAGACCAATTGAAGAAGTGGTCAAACAGCTGAAAGCCAATAAACGCACAGAGGAGCTCCAAAAGGGTAATGAAAATCAAAATAGTTGTCCTAATGAAGATAACACGAGCGCAGGTGACAAAGAAGAAGAAAAACCAAAACCCATCGTTAGTAAGTCTTATAAAATGGTCGCAAGAAAATCTAGTGTAACTGGAAAACCCTTCAGTCCAATCAAGTTTTCTGATCAAGAGCAAAATCAAAATAAAAGCGAAAAATGCGCAAATGTTAAGAAAGTTTCAACTAAGGCTAAACAGGCTAAGCAACAGAAAAAAAGTAGTATGTCGGATGAGGAACTTGACACATCTAAATTTGCTCTCAACACGAAAACTTTCCACTATAGTTCTTCAGATGAAAGCGTTAATGAGTCTAATGATGACAACGACACCAAAGAGTCTTCCGAATCAGATACTCCTAAAAGTAAGAAAACGAAAAACAAAAAATATAAGCGAATAACTGATAGTGCAAAGAAATGGACTTCGAAAGAATTAAAAGAACTATCTAAAGATTCTCTTGTAGATTTGAAGGATGAAATGAAAATATTTGGAAGTGAAAAACCTAGCAAGAGGCGGCTTAAACTTCTGTCTATGTGGAGTGGACCGAAAAAACATAGAATGGCTTCTTTAAATGCAATGGCAAAAGTTCATTGCTTGTATGAGAATGAAAGCAGAACTCATATGGAATTGGGTTTGATGAAAACTGTTGATAGACAACCAATTCCAAGTACCTCCAAGGCTCACACTACAACTAAAGGTAAAGACAGCAAGCCTAAAGAAATTGAGAAACAAGACAGTACCTCAGAATCGGAATATGAGCACAGAAAAGATAAAAAAGATGAAAGTTCTGAAAGTTCTGATGACAATCCACCGCAGAGATCACTACGAGGGGTACCTGGTATAAGAAGTGCTGGTAAATACTGGGATCCTAAATCGTGTACTTCTTCCAGTGAGGATAGTGAAATGGAATCTAAAAAGAAATCTGCGACTGCTGAGAAAAAGAAGAACACTACGAAATTGCATTCTTCTAATAAATCTGATTCAGATTCTAAACCACCAGCAAAAATGAAAAAAACGGTCGGAGTGCCGGTGAAAAAGAAACGCAATAGAAACGAAGTTGTGATGGACTTGAAAGACATGGTAGTCCAAAAGCGTATGGCCAGCCTGAACGCCACAGCAATATTAGCCGCTAGTTATGAGAAGCGTTCACCAAAGTCTAGTAAGGACGACACTACCTCCGATTCTTGTAGCGATGAGTCTTTTACTCAGAAGTCAAAAAACGGGGCTGGTTCCGGCGTTAAGTCGGAAGTAAAAAACGAGGATGCAAAAAGAGAATGCGAGGAGACGTCGATGACTGATAGAAAACAGAAAGTGGAAGTAATCGTGAACCAAGATACAGACGTTACAATAACTGGTGTATACTCAACACATCATCACGAGGGTTTCTGCACTGTGTCCGGAATGCAGTACCGTATCTCCTCTACAAGTCACACCCAAACAACCGCAACAGCTAACTGTGAAAAGGTAAGAATTACTTTTGCTATTTCGTTTAAACGCTGGCATAAAATATCACCTTAAAGAAAGAACATTAAACTGGTTTTGGTAAAGAGAAAGCCATCGCCTCTACATTCACGTGAATTCAATTCTGTTTTCTCAACGAAATTCGCTTAAATCTTTTCCACATAACACATAACTTACAAAGTGAATAAAAAAGCTATCATTTAGACTAAGGTAAACCGAATTTCACATTTCGTAAAATAGGTTTGCAAAGCCTTGGTGTCTAGCTTTCATTAATAGTCTATAATGAAACTTACTGGTCCCATGGTCACGGCTCATTGAGGTGGTATTAGTCATCAACCTATTCTGAACTTAATTGAATTTATTAATTAATAATAATAATTACTGAAAGTAATTGATTCTAATTACCTCACTTTTTATTTCCAAACAACTTGTTCCAATTTACGCTACATACATACGATTTGTAAAATATATTAAAAATGTGCATTTTTCACTTAACGTATTCAATTTTCTTTTAATAATTAAAAGGAAAAGTAGAAAAAACAAACAAAACATTAACGAGTAGTAACTGTAATCTGCTTGGTATTTTTCATCAGTTACAGATAATGTTTTTATAGAGAACATAACGAGGAGACAGCAAAGTTTAAACCCTTTCGGAAAACTGAATACGCACAGTGGTTCAATATTTTGGTCGATAAATTAATCACAGATTGAGGTTGCGCTTGATCGTTTTACAGTGACAACGTTGACGTTTCGTTGCCTTAGCGCTTTAGTTTAAACCTATTAAATTTTTCGGTATTTTTTTCACATTCATCAAAATTAAAAGATGACCGTTTATCTGTCATTTCAATACACTCGTAGAAATCAGATCTGGATAACGTATTCGATACAAAAATATTGAATTGGAATATGTTTTTAGCAAATTAAAAATAAGTTACGTAGTAATAATTAATTATTTGTTATTATAGTTCAAAATGTAGTGATGTACATTATTGTTTGATGATGCACATGTGTTTTTAAATAAAACGAGTAAATTTGTAAGCAACAGACGATCGACATCGTATTTTTTCGAATATTCATGTGTAATCAGACAGTATCGAATAAATGTGTAAGAAACATACAATCGATATTGTATTTTTTGTAAATCGACGCGAGTCGATGTCAAAATATCAAGCTAATCTGTCTTTTAGATAACTGTTTCATGACTCGTATGTACACACGCCAGCACATCAACCTACGCATTGACGTACCGTGTTCCGTTGCACTGGAGGCGATTTTCGAACAAAAATGTCAGACTACACATTTTGTACCGTTGTCCGTACCATCGCAGACAGCGTTTTTTTTTTTAATTTCTACACAAGAGTTTAGGGTGGATCGAGTAAACAAGTGTCATGTAAAGGAGCAGATTTACCCGTAATAGTGATTAGATCGTTTGCGCCATGAACTCAATTATGGTTGCTTTAAACACTCGTATTGGGTGACATTAACTAAACGTAGCGAAGTTTTAAATCAACATTTTCAAATATTTATTTATTGAAACGTTCGTTAGTGAAGAAATTCGCACCCCTGTACACAAAAATGATCATTTCAAATCATTAGACAAAGGAGAACGATAAAAACTTAAACTCATCTGAGTTATCTAAGATCAATGAAAAGAAAAGAGTTATCAAGATTATCTAATCTTTATTTCATAGGTCAGGAAATTACACTTGAAATCGTCATATCGATTAAATTCTACTGCTCATTCTTAAGGCAGAAGAATAATCACATACATCACTATATTTTGAACTATAATAACAATTCATCCCCTGAGAAGAATAAGCAAGTATCTATAGGGGTTGCTCTTTGTAAATAACTATTTGTATACCCTTACAATCTTTATTTCAAATATCATAGATCGAAACAACCTGTAAGAGCTAAACGGGTCACTACCACGGATTTATGTCATCCAAGCACGCAAAAGCTATATTATAATAATAAGGTTTTTATTCCACTATAGTTTTCAACCTCGTAAATAGCAAATTTTGAATATCAACCCCTTTAATGAATTTGTGACTCTGAAGACGACTGTCATTTTGTGTTACTATTTTTCATAAAAAATACTATTCTTCTTGTAGTATAGTACAAAAAAATATCATCGAAAAACTATAAAGCTATCAACGTTTCTTGCACAGGAGGGATGTTCTCGAGATGAATCCCGCTACACGCCACTCTCTGCGCTGTCCTCAATGAAGCCCCCTGCCGACCAACCACATGGTCATCCACATCCAGGTAAATTTAATTTATTCTAACACAGTAACAATTAAACAACAATAACATGATACAAATAAAAGATAACCTAACCTCTGGTTAAAAAACCGACCTCAAAAATCATTCATCCCCTAGTTTACCACCCTTAGAGGTGGAATATTTTCTTCAAATTTACATGGGACCACTTCTGAGGTACCCTCTTTCCAACAAAAAAAGAATCATCAATATCGGTTTACAAATGGCGGAGTTCTCGCGTAACGTACATACAAAAAAAAACATACAGATGAATTGAGAACCTCCTCTTTTTTTTGAAGTCGGTTGAAAAAGAAATAAAGAGTAACAAACAGGTGCTGTTGTTAATAAGCAAGAAGCAGCAATTCCTTAAAGTTATAAAAATTAAAAGTTTTTTATGATATCAAGTGGCGGGACGAACATGTCGAGCGCCTGGTGATAAGCGACACGCCTATGCATAGCAGTTGCAGTGCCATTCAGAGTTTTAAATCGCAAAGATCTTATGGGCACTGCCACTGCGCCCGTTACCCTGAGACATAAGCTGAGAAGTCCCAGGTGTCAGTAATTTCACCAGCACCCTTACCCTTCTAAACCGGAACGCATTAATGCTCACATTACTGCTAGGCAGCAGAAATAGGTAAGATGGCAGTACTTCCCGGGACGAACTCTTTCACAAGGAGCTGCTACTATAAAGTAAATAGTACACTTGCAGATGTTTTACGTTTAGAAATGCGTAACTATGGTACAAATAGGTATATATGATAACTTCTTAGTACTTATGTGTACCATATTTTAGTAATTGGTCCAAAAAAAGCATTTTCCCAATTTCACAACCCAAATCATTCGGTTTGTATGTTTTGTAAGACCAAAATCGTATGCACACACTGAATAGTAAACGGCTTCTGCTCGTAACCTTGTTAAACAGAAGGTCTATTTGTAACATCTAAACTGAAATTGAAAGTAAAAGGTTGACCTTTTCCCGAACAATTTCGTATCGGACTTGGGGACTTTCCGGGATGGGACCCTATAACTTTTGTTGCGATTTCCCACTTCGCCAAGCCGCCGTGATCGAACAGAATGATAAATGAGCAACCTTTTCAAATTGAAGTGATTAATAAAGACTGCTGAAACTGATTCGTAAGAAAAAACCGAGTAGGACAAACCTTATTTTTCTCCTCTCTGTCTTTCTTCATTGATTGCTATAGTTACTTTAAAGAAAAGGACTATATTTAGAATTAGATCAAAAACATAGAGTGTAAGTGTTACCTTAGGCGTAAATTACAATATATTAGCATTGGACTTTGGACTAGCTTATCATAAGTGGCATAAAGATAAATGATAGTATATTGATGACTCATTCATCATTAATGTGTGACCGAGACTATAGAGGAATGAAAATATATTCAATATACTTAATTATTCTCAATTCGACGTGTTTTTTTTTGTGTGTATGTTACGCGTTTTTTTGTGTGTATGTGTGTATGTTGTGAACCGATTTTGAAGATTGAATGGTTACCTTCCTGGACTGCCACGCAAAGGTCCCGGGCCGGAAGAAATATTTGTATCGCTTACATTTATTTCTTGTAATAATATAGTTTGTAATTTATGGTTGTCTATGTGTGTGTCCACACACACACACCTGTGCACAGTGCCATGGCACCCGCGATGCAGGGAACCCCTTGTGCGGGGGGTTATGAGTGTATGCGTTATTGGTCCCATTTAAATTTGAAGAAAATATTCCACCTCTAAGGGTGGCAAACTAGGGAATGTAACCGGTTTCGCATACTTTTCGGTAACTGATTTCAATAACACTTGGCAAACAGATGTAATTCCACAAACTTTTGAAGTCGGTTTTTTTTTATAAAAAGGTTATTATTGTCAAAGTACTAATGGAGTAGTTTCAACCACACCATGAATTTCTCTACATAAGATCTGTTGACTAGTTCCGTAGCTCAGTTAGGAGAGCGATTACCCAAGATTGCATTAGACAAGAATATCGCTGATTCAAGTTCAGCCAGATCGAAAGAATTTTTCTTTGAGTTTATTCGATTTTTGTATCAATTATTTAAATATGTCAATTATAATTTTCACTTAGGCCTTTTCCCTGAACTTTTGTGCATTTAATTAGCACCTCAGAAAACATTTAATATCACAATTGTTATTAAAACGTCATATAAATTCACACCATCACGTATACACGTCAAGTTAATCGCTTTTGGAGCATAAATCATTTCTCATGTCTACCCACCGTAAAAATACTATAGAGCATTCATGAACAATAACAATTATGCAATTCTTGAATAGCATAATAAAGACCTTTACTTACAATCGAATATTTTGTTTAATAGGCAACCTTCATAAATAACATTTAATTTGTTTGCTTTAGATTAAAATCACAAATACTAAGATAGTGAAACTCAAATTGTATTTGTATGTATGATACCAAGTGACGGGCAAAGAAGTCGTGGGCCTGATAGTAAGCGACACGGCTGTCCGTAACAGTTGCAGTGCCACTCAGAGCCTTAAATCGCAAAGATCTGGGGCACTGCCACCGCGCCCGTTACCTTGAAACATAATTTGACAAGTCCCATGCGTAATTTCATTAGTAGCACCCTTACCCTTCAAAATCAAAAACGCAGTAATGCTCACTTTACTGTTAGGCGACAGAAATAAGTAAGTTGGCAATACTTCCTTGGACAAACTCTTTCACAACTCCTTGTGCTACTAAAATGAAAATAGAATCAAGATATATATACCAATATAGAATAGAGCTCCCTCTAGTGCTACTAAAATGATATTAAACTTAAAATGACCATTTAAAATTGTAAATACACGTATATATAGTATAAAAACATGGTGAGAATTGTACGGTAAATTATTCGGAGTTTTCATCTGAATTTATATTCACATATATTTTAATACTATTAGCTGCTTTTTGATTTTAAGTTATTAGTTTAGTTTATCAGTTTTAACCTTGACTAAAATTCCATTAAAACTACGTGTGATAGTTTGAATGGACCCTAGCATATCTGCCATCGAGGCCGATTGCCTCATCTGCTCCAAATAGATCAATGTTTCGACACCGATGGGCCTTGTCTCGGTCACATTCTGTGTGTTTGTATGTGTCATTGTTATGTATTTGTTTGTAAACCTGTTTGTTTATGTTCAATTACACAAACTTCCATTAACTTTAATGCTTAAGAAGTTTTACTTTGATAAATTAGAGTGTAGTTATTATATGTATTTTATGACAGGTTCGGTTTAAGTTCTATCATGCTACTTATTGTAAATATAAACATTTAACAAAGAAGTACTTTTGAACAAATGTTCGAAAAATGAAAAATAACAAACAGACATACCGCACAGTGCGGACAATGCAGTACAAAAAATAAATTTGCGGTATATCCTCTCTAATGATCTATTGGTATTTCTTTCGTGATTTTTGGCGATTGTTTGATAGATCAAATCTATTATGGCACTTGTGTCGTAACAAAGGTAAAGGTACCTTATTAAAATATGTTAGAGAGCACTAATTAAATTGTTATAGGATATTTAAATTCCAGTTTGAGTTACAACTCAAAAACTACACTAAGGTGCCTAACGCTAATCATCATGATTTTCGAAATAATTCTTAACTAGATACGAACAATTTAATTTTATATTTTTTTCTTTCTAAGGGTGCGTTCCGATTATATCGTAACGACAGATAATCATATAGTTTAATGTGTCGAAGCTTGTGTATTTTAATGAAGTTGTTCACACATAGAACACGATTAATTGTCGTTCAAAACTTTTTGTCGTTCACAACTTTTTGGCGTTACGACGACAGATTGTCGTGACAATGGGAAGATCTGGGACGACAGTCGTCAGACGATAAATATAATTTAAAAAAAAATTATAAATAAATATATAAAAATAAATATAAAGATAAAAATGTGACGACAGACAATCGCAGCTTCAAACGATTGTGTCGTGTAAACGACAAAGCGGCTGCCGTGAACCGATATATTGTCGTCACCGTTATCTAGTGGGAACTAGACACGACAGTCGTTCAACGATAGAATAAAGGTCCACGACTCAGTCACGACAGACAGTCGTGATATAGGAACAGGCTAGAAGCGACTGTCGTCAAACGATAAATAAAATAATACGACATAATGGAAGTGCGCCCTAAGTTTTCTGAAATATCACTAATACACGAGCAATAGTTCTTATTTCGCATATCAAAGTGGCACTTTCATATAATTATAACAAAGTAAGTTTGGCTTGACGCCAAGGGATATCCATGCAAGATCTTGGCCCCGCGTAGCTGTGCCTATTAACATAATCATCTATGACTCTTCTCATTTCCACCGTAATACGCATGCTGCGTAGTGAGACAATGAAGTCTATCTATTCTTGGCTAGACAAATAAATACCTTCATACCTAAATTGTGTAGATATGTCATGCTTTCAATCATTGATGTGGGTTACAGACTTTTTATAGTGTTACAAACAGTCAGACTATAAAGATGATGGTAAATGCTTAAACACTGTCTAAGTTATTTGCAGTACCCATGAAAGAAGTATCCTTGCTGGTACTTGGTACTTGGTGTAAACGGGCTGGTATATATATCTTGATTCTATTTTCATACAGAAATTTGCATGGATAATAATAATTCAGTCCGTAAGTGTGATTAAAACTGGTTTTAAAACGGGCTAAAATAGCAGAAATAATAATAATAATTTAACTGACATCTGGGACGTGGCCTCCACGGACATAATCCCAATTGTTTTGGAGCCTCGCTAGCAGCTCGAGGCGGTTGAGTTTCTGTGGTGTGTCGTTTCCAGCACAAATGCAGAAGGCCGTCCTGTTTGGTACAATACGACACATATTGTTTGCCAGATCTTGAACCTGTGTCCCTGGCCCCGGCCGACTGTATCATTGCCGGGAAATACAGACCCCTGCTATTTAAAATTTCTAAATTAATCTTTTAGATCATGAGAAAGACGAGTGAAAGACGATATAT